GAACAACTTTATTTTATATAGTTTAGTAGATGTAGTAAGTAATCTTATTTGATTTATTACTTACCAAGAATGCCTTGAACTTGAAAGGTAGTAACATAGTGAAATATACAATATAATTTATGCTGATATTAAACTTATATATAACATATAATATTTAATAACATTTCATTTTTATTCTAAGCAGAGCGCGATGACAAGGACGTGAATTAAATATTGAAATATATTTAATATGAATTAAATATTGAATATTATGAATAATATTTATGCATTAACATTTATTATATTACACTGGCACTAATTTAAAATATATTTTCCAGAAATCAATTATAATAAAAAAAAATTATCCAGAAATTTTTTGTTTTGCGGACCATTTGGCGCCCCTTTGTGAAAAGCGCCCGGGGCATGATGCCCCCCCCCTGCTCACCCCTCGCTACGCCACTGGTCAGGAATTAACATTTCTCCAACTTTTCAAAGCTGTGCGAGTCTGAAGGTCTCGCAATGAGTTGGTTTTACATAAATTTTTAAGGAACAGTTTGATTTTCCAAAAGGAAGTTGCCGCATTTGGTTATTGTAGCAAATTGGCACCATTTTTGGCAAGTAAATCTGCCTGCTCATTGCCCCTAACACCACAATGGGCCACAATTTAAGGAATACTAACTCGATAGTTTTCACATATTTACATCAGAATAGTTTAACGAAATAAGAAGAATAAAACAGAATACAATTTCCCAAGTTATACCTGTGTTTAAGTTAAAGAAAAATGGCATTAATTCACAGCACCAACAAATAAAAATCGCTTATGACGTTTACAAAACTGTCAGATTTCGAAATATTTCATGTCATTTTAGAGCAAGATTTATGATTTTCATGATTCCGCAATAATTAGATATTTGAAAAATCCTCTTGTTTGCATGACATTTCATTTCTGCTTTCATTATTTATTGCTTTCAGGAATTTTACTATAATGTATCTGATTAAACAATAAATAATGACGGAGTAATAGTAAATGTATTAGAAGCGCTAAAATGCTTTTTGAGAAAATCCATTGCTTTGTAACCAACAAGGTAAGTAGTAGGATTATAAGATTAGATTATCAATTAAAATGTTTCAATTCGAATATCATTTAATAAGAATCGTGAAGATTTGATTATTAATATAATAAATTGAGATATAATAATCAAAGTGTGAGACAATCAGTAAATACATAATTAAATTTTGTCATCAAAATCATTTTTATGATCGATAATATATTATTTTTCATACGTTAAAGAAAACCAGAAATCAATGACTGAAATTTAGATATTAACGTGGCAATCATATCACTACTTAAGTCAGTTAAAAAGGTTAGAAAATGGTAATAGTAGTATTATCAAAATAGCTTACAACATTCAAATTAACGTGAAATTTTATAATCCCCGCTGGATATCGATTTAAAAAATATTCCTATTAACTTGTATTTTATTTACATTTTAATAATGTATTATGATTGTAAAGAAGATACAAATTTTTGTTTAAAAATAAATTTCATAAAAATTCATACTTTAAAATCAGCATGAAGTTGATTTAAAATTTATATAGATTAAACAACTATTGATTTTTTACGCAACTATTATATGTTAAACTAATGACGGAACTCTTACTTTAATGTTACATTGCAAAGACTTTATCATATGTAAAAATCATTCCCATTTTCCGTTGATTTAGAATCATTTGAATTCAGAATCATTATAATTTATGCGGTTAAAGCACAATATCAAATAATTAAAAATCGACATTACATTTTATTTATGCTAAATAATTAATAAAAGATGTGTATAATAAAAATAAATGATAAGGTAAATAACAATTAACATAAAATACCACATTAGTATATATTTCTAACCACATGATTTATTTTTTAGGGGAAAAAATTTTGCAAATTTTTAAAGATACAAAAAATTTTTTTAAAAAAATTTAAATTTAATTGGAATTATTGAAATTTAAATTTTTGAATCATTAAATGAAAATTACTAAAATTTAAATTTGTGAATTATTAAATTTAAATTATTAAAATTTGAATTTTTGAATTATTAAATTTAAATTATTTAAATGTGAATTTAAAAATTATTAAATTTAAATTATTAAAATTTGAATTTATAAATTATTAAGTCTAAATTAGTAAAATTTGAATTTTTGAATTATTGAAAAATTCTTGAAAAAAGTACTTGGAAACTAAGCATTTAATTAAACAAAATTTATTTTCGGTTAATTTTATGTTCCAGGAATCTGAGCACAAGAAAAAAGAACATGAACAAAGTTTTTGTCATTCTGTTGCTTTTTGCGTTTGTTGGAACTGCTTATATGCAATGCACAAATGACTGCAGTACTGCTAGATGCAAACAAGAAAAATGCAATGAACATCAGCGAGATGAAAGAGGAGAATGTGATTGTTGTCCCGTATGCAGACCTTTCTATGGACCATGATGTAATTATCAAAAACATATTATATTTTTTTTATAATAAAGCAAAGCGTTAAATACCAAGAGAATTGTATAATTACAAAAAATATCGCAAAGCTAGAGAAAATATTATGAACAACTAATAGAAATGGAATAGCGAAAGGAATATTTGACTTAAAAAGAATAAGAATAATAGATTACCCATCTTAATTTTATAGTATTTTCAATATAATAATGTTATTGCATCACTTTTAGTGTATATATTAAAAATATATCATGATATCACGTTAATTATTTAATTTTGTGCAAAAAATTCTTTAAAAACACATTAAATATTTTTTTTATCTGCGTTGAATATGAAATGAGTGCTTTAAAAATACTTGATCTGTTTTTTTTTAGCTTTATTTGAAGTCCTAAATTTTAAAAAATAGTAAATTAGTTCTGTAAATTTTGCTTCGATTTATTTGCTGAATATCAGTGAATGTTTTCTTTTTTTGTCGTCTTTCGTATTTTACAAGCTAGCTTGAAATAAAAAACTGATTTTAAAAATAGAAATACGTGGTAACTTTAGGTTTATTGACCATGAAGAAGAGATGGCTATCGAATCTAGCAGCAGTATATTGCTTCAATATATCTTGCCGCAATATATCTACTGGAATATATATGTATATTACTGAAATACTTCTACTGCAATATATTTAATCATACCTCAATATTTTTAAATGAATTGAAGCAGATGTAGTTTCGCAGGAAGCAATTTAACTTATTTAGCAATTTGGACAAATCGTTTCTTTTTACGACATTAAAAGTATGTAAAGTTTCTAATGTTTATTTCATTTCGGAGTCAAATAAAAATCTAGAATTAAGTATTCTGTAGTTTTTTAATGAATAAGTTATTTTTTTAACTAGCTGGACCCTTAAAATGCATACATAGTCCGATATTTGTTTGTGACTAAAACACAGGTGAATATTATAAAGGAGAGATGCTATAAATTCAGTGACCATCTCATTACTGACTTCAGGGAACAAGACCACGCAAAATAAAGGAGTGGCGTTCACCTTTCATTAAGCATTGACATATCAAGGATTGTACACAATTAGAGTCCTTAAAATGCATCATACGAAACAAGCATTTTTTGTGTGCATATTTTCGCATCATAATTTTTATAGTCATATTTAATTAATTATAGTGATTCAGTGATTTTACAATCGTTACTGTAAAACAAAAGATATAATCGATTCTTTAATTTTTAAAATTTTACCGTTACTTTAATTGAAATTTTTACAGTGTAGGCAATCTTCAGCTGTGCATTAATTACATTATTGTACTATACATATATTACCTGGATATTTTGGATTTGTTATAAGATATAAAAGCATTGGTTATCTGGAAATTCATTATAAAATTGTTTAAAGGCATTGATGAAAGATACGCAAAATGCTGAGGGTCATTGTAAAAATTAAGCACGTAATACATTTTGTAAAAATGAAAGTTGAAATGAAAGTGTTATGTGAATTCATTTTATAACAAGTATGGTGACATGCATTGTTTTTCTCTTTTTCAGAAGAAATATTATGAAGGTAATAGTTATAAAGTGTGAAATGTTAACAAGGAGAGAAGTATAAACTGTAATGTAATGTAAATTCCTTTTACTGAAATAAACGTTTTAATTCGAAAAAATGCTTACGTTTTTTTCCTTTTCATTTTTGTTTAAAAAAATATTGCATAAGTAGTAGAGATTACTTTAGTGTTTATACATCAAAGTGCAAGCTACACCTGCACAAAATAACAAATTCATAATTGTTCAAATGCGATAAAGAACAATGAATACAAAAAAATTGCTGTATAAAATAGCAATGAAAAAACAAGATTCTTGATTGTCTAAATAGAAAATAAAATAAAATAAAAAAATTTACTAAATACATATAATGCTCCTGGTTTTAACTCAACTTGTTTAGTATTTTGATTCTATATTTTCAGAAAGAAAGTGTTACAATTCTTTATTTTTACACATTTTAAAAATGTATAAAAATGAAGCCTGACACAATTTTAGCTTTCACAATATTTTCTTTCCTTTTTTATTGTAGATAAGAAAATGTCAATATACTACTGAGTTTTTGTAAAAATTTTAACAAAAGAAAAAATTTTAATTACGCAAATTGTTCATCTAATTTTTCGTTTATTCTTTAAAAATCATCTTTTCGCTTTAAAATATATTTTTCACTGTTTTAGATCCATGCATTCTCTTAAAAAAATTATTAAAAAAATTATAGCGATTTAAAATGCGTTTTGTTTTGACTAAAAAAATTACAAATGAAATTCATCGGCTCGCATAATTAATTATAGCAAATAAGTGCAAACTTTATGTTTGAAAAAGTTGCTAATTTGATTTTATATCCATAAAATGCACCATAGAAATAATTAGCACAGCTGAATAGTTTTTTTAATGTAATCATATGTAATCACATGTTGTACTAAACATTTTATAACGAACTTTGTCACATTACTTCTGACACCATAAGCATATGTAAGAGACAAAAATTGAGTCCACTGTCACTTGAGATGTATGAGATTAATTTGTTGTATAATCGTCGTTGAACAGCAGATCCAATTTAGGTTTACGGTTTTAGGGTTTACGGCCAATTTTCAACTCCATAATCTTGTAGTTTTGAACCCAATCTAAGAGACAGGAGAACTCCTGGATCAAGT